TAACAGCTGGAAACTCCAGGTTCCCTTTTCTGTCCATAGACAAAGGAAACATAGCAGATATTCCCTGCTGGAGTGACTTGATCTATGTTTAGCTGTACAGGGCGTTCCAACTTCACACACACACACACACACACACATACATACACAAACGCACACTCTTGTCAGGACTCTTCCGTGAGTACCATTCATGTCAGTCTCTCTTTATTCAGTCAACCCAGAACCGTATATCTCACCTTAAATGCAATCAGATAATGCCCCACAAAAGGCTACCATTTAAATATTGAGATCCCTAAAAATTAGATTTAGTCTTTTTGCGACCAGATTTTGGTTCCCACTGGTGCTAGTGGTCCTAAAGGAAAGGAAGGAAAAAACACAAGTAACAATGGTAGAAACTATCCTAAATTGATAAAAAATGTAACATTCATAGACAAGGTATAGTCCTTGGTATATAAACCTGACCTGAAAAACTAAGCCTTGGATCTAAAATTACACCTTTGCTTGATGGGCATCAGCCAAATGTCCTCACAAGAGCATCTTTGTAAGGCAATAACCACAGTTCGCTTCAGTATCAGGAACATGTTTTATTTACCATTAACAATAATGTGGTTATTAATAACCTGAGTTTACAGAAGATATCCTACAGTCTGAATTTCAGATGTATTTTTTGACATGGAAAGAGAACATAGAGAAACCATGTGTGGAGAGTTTCCTTATGTAGCTGGAAAAAAGTGAGATGATGTAACACATTGTGAAAACAAACCAGGAAGTGAAATTAGTGACATCAGGGTGTTTCCATTCAACAGAGAACCCTGTCGATCTCCAATGTTTGGTTGTAAATAAAATATAAATTGCAAATTCTAAAAAAACAGAAAATGAAAGTCAGTGGAGACAGAGGAGGAAAGAACAAGTGAGAGGGAGGGGGAGAGAGTAGAAGGCAGAGTGAGACAGAGAAGGAAACAGAACTTAAGGGGTGGAGGAATTTTTTTTCCCGGAAGAGGTCGTCACTTGAAGAATTCCCTTGAAGCAACAAAACAAAAAAGTGAACAGGCTTAGACTATTTACCATTTACGGAAATAACAAGACAGAAAAACAAAAATGGGGGGGAGGGGTATTTTAGAAAATGTATACATCAAAAAAAATGTAAGGACTATGTACATCGGAGATCTGCAGCATTACTTTCTACTATTAACCAGGCTTATCGTGTTGTAGTGTTTAAAAATAAAACCACCTATTAAAAAGTGTATATTCTTCAACCATTGTCTTCAAATTAATATTGGAACTTCAGACATTGCAAATAAATATATTATTATCTCCTATCAGGTGACAATTGTGGACAGCAGATGTCTATTACCTTAATGGATGGAGGGATTTTTTAGTGGATGATAGAGAAAGACACTTAATCAAATACGTGTGGGAATCTAACAACCAACACTTACATAATTGATATTCAACTGGTCTCTGTCGAAATTATAAATGTATATTTATATCCAAGAATTCTTTATTTATTTGTGCGCTTATTATTATTTTGTGTGTGTGTGTGAAAAATGTTGGCCTGTTCCGGGGGGCGTAGCTACCTTGTAGCTGCGCGGATTTACGGTAAGTTATGAAGAGGACGAAAGTACATACGTCACCGTGTTGCTCGACCCTGATTGGCGAAGAGTTTGGGAGGATATATAGAGAGGCATTCACCAGGTTTTCCAGGATTTAGAGGAGCTGACGCCACGGGGAAAGAACTAGTGAATCTGTTGTGAAGCGATAGGAGCAATACGGACCAAGAGTAAAACATCTTTGTTGGACCATACAGTACTTGTGGACCTGAAACACTGAATCTAGCTAAAGACTTTTCACTGTGGCCTTTTTTTTGTAATTAAATCGTTGTAAAACTAAACTAAGTCAGCTGGTCGATATCGACTTGTTTTGTATTTTCCTGTATTTTTGAGTTCAGTCGGATAACCATGCTGCTGCACCTTTGCCTCATTCTTTTCCTCTCTGCCTCCGTTTTCTCAGAGTCGGTAAGTAGAACGACGAGCGAATGTTTCATATTCACGTTTACAGAAATATATTCTGTGAATTCAACTAATTTGTTTCGTCAATTCACAAGGTTACTTGCTTCTCCAAGCTAGTAATTAGCTTTGATTTAACGACCTAATGTTCCGGTGTTAAACTTTTTAAAATCGACAAAAAAATACACAGTACATATACGAGTACATTCCAAGCGTGGTTATTGCTACGTGTAGTTGTGTAGTTAGCCAGCTATCTTACTCTCAGTGTGAGTGAACTGCGGGTGTGTGTGTGTGTGTCAGTCTTCCGGGAAGAGAGTGGCACTGAGGCAACTGCCATTATCCGGGATAAGGCCCAGACTGGGAAGTTACTTTTACTGGATGTGATGATCCGACTACAGACTCAGCGGTGTGTTTTGGGGTCAATATTGATCTGATTTTTCTGATGATTATAAATTATCTAGGTGCACCTTTGCCACGAGCTGACATCTTCGTTTAATACAGAGCTTTTGCCCGAGGTTTTCAAACTTGTGGTCAGGTTCAATAATGTAAACAAACCAACGGCCAGTCTTTCCTGCCGTGTTTTTATGACATTGCAATTAAGTACAAAAGAAATTTTTGAAAAGTAAAACGTTACATTGTTGGCTACATTTAATGTTTTGTTTGACAAAAAAAAGATTGCTTAAGATAGAAAAACAAGATAAATATGTACCCCACTATTAAAGTATTGGTAGAATACCACAGACATTTTGTTTAAGGAAGCTGATTCTTTGATACAATTGGTCATTAAATAGCGCAAAATGTCAGATAAGACATTATCACAGACCACATTTAACCTATCTGTGCTACAGTAAATACCATCACTAAGTTACTCCCCCCGTCTGATCAAACAATCTTAGCAAGGCCAATCCAAAAGCAAATGGCTCATTTCCACAGTGAGATTGTACAGAAACATTTTTGGCAGCTGTATAAAGAGCTGTCCCTTGGATTAGAAAAATTAAGAACCTATTATAGAAGAGCTTTATAAAAGGTCTACTGTTTAATGATAGTAATTTACATTGACAAACTATACATTAGATCCTGAAGGCTCTGACAGCTCATTATGGCACTGTTGTGAAACCTCAGGTAAGACTTTGTTCTTTGAAGTGTTTAGTTTTCAACACTCCTTCCATGATTCACAGAATACTTATTATAAGATCATTTTAAATACAGTGCGATGTGACTTCATGTTAAAAGAATGCGGGTGCAGGGGACTGAGGTTATAGCATGCATTTATAAATGTTATTTCATCAAGCCTTTGTTGTTTGTTTTTTTACTCAGCAGTTCACTGGTTTGATGTGCTGTAATTGTTTGTTTTTAGGGTGGACCCTCTCTGTCCTTATGCTTGTATTTTTCTGCTTGTCTTGGGCCTTTTTATATTAACATAACACTAATTTAGTCTATTGATGTTTAAAGTTAAAACTTTGTTTTTTTATGTCATCACGACTTTGTCCACTTACTTACAATAATGGAACACCAGAGGCAAATATTTTCTAGTACTTTGACCTGCACTTGAAACTTGGAGTGTTCGTGTGTGATCGCATGTTTGTGGTTTGGCTGGACTGAAATGAGACGGTGAAAGTACAAGTAAATTATAAAACATTAAACTACCTTGTAACCATTACTGTTGTTTCCAAATAAGGAGAAAATGTTTTATTCTGTTAACACTTTCGTTGAATGGAAAATGTGTTTGCATGTGTGTTTGCATGTGCATCATGGCCCAACAAAGCAGGTAACAAAGTTTTCTACATTTGCGTTTATACATTTCCTTTTTTTTTGTTTCACTTATGTGAATAAAAAATGATTGTCTCGATTGATAGACCTTGGTTAAACTTTCACATAAGACAGGTTACATGTTTATTTTTTCATGTACCAATGACTGCATCCATTATACTGCCAGAGAGCTAATAATGACAAATGACACAATGTCTTGTTTAACTTTGACACTGAATAGTTTATCTGACCCCTTCTGGCTGTTTTTTTTTTAGGAGCTGCTAGAGCAGATCATCTTTTCTTCTTTCACTTTAATGCTTGCCTCCTTTTCTGTTTAGCCAGAGAATATAATGTTGCTTTTACTATGAAGATGAATCACCTTAGTGTAAACGCACATACAAATATCCCATTGCATCGTCTGGACACCTGGCTTCTTACTGGGACAGTCACAAAACTAACAAGAGCATTTGTTACACCCCAGCCACACACTCTACACACCCAATGAGTCCAGTTGTTCAGTCCAGATGGTTACAAAGCGGGCCACTTGGTCTGTGTACATGTCTGACACATGTAGATGACTGACTGTGTCAGTAGAGTTATTCCAACCATGAGTGTCCCCATGAGTGACACACAGAGACCATTCCTGCCTTCTCATGATACTAATCCCAGATAGTTGGAATGGGGATGAACTTCTTTGGCCTTCATTTTCATATCTCTCCTAGCATGTTGCCGCCATCATTACACTCAGCGCCCAGCTTCCCTTTACAATCTGTAAAATTCCTCACAGGCCTGTCTTTTCTGCTTGCTCACTCTGCCTCATCTTGTTGTCCACAATCCCCTGTCCTCTAGCCTTCTCACTCCTTTTTTTGATTTTCCCCTCTGGAATGTGACCTTTGGTGACCTTGACCGGCCCTCATTGGGATTGTGCACACTTGAAGGGATCTCAATAGGGTCCTGGGGCCTTTTTATGTGGGACATGGCTTTCCTCTAGCCTGGCGTAGCAACACCTACAGTTTTCCCACCAAAGTATGCGTTTGTTCCTTCTTGTTCCCTAAACCAAATTTTCACCTCACCAGTTTTCTACATCTCAGGTCTACAGCCTGTGGTTTTCTACTATTCACCACTGTGTTTAGTTGTCATTCTTTTCTCTACTTTTTTTTACTAGTCTTTGATGGATACTTAGCCTCTGAGCTATGACAATTCTGCCCCCACTCTTCCCAGCCCTTTATTCTATTCACTCGCTAAGGTCATTATTGGAATGTGGGTTTGGCTTCCCCAGCTAATCGATAATAATGTTGAGCTACCTGACAATAGAACATACCCTGAATGCATAAAGGGCTTTTGGGGGAGCTACAGGAATGTTTGGAATGTTTTAATCCTTGAACTGATATAACATTTTTGCCAGTTTCTTTTTTTGTTTTCTGAGCTATTGAGACTGAAAGAAAAAGATTATGTCAAATGATTGAATTTTCTTTAACTTTTCACCACTTTCACTTTTTAATCACTTTCTTTTTATCAGTTTCTAATAAGCTACTCTTTTATCACATCACAATAGACAGAGACCTGTCGTTGTGTGGTCTTTTAATTACCGAGATAAAGAAAAGACTTTTCAGTTGTCATCAAAGCAGGTTAAACTACTAAGTGTGCCTGTGGTAACAACAATAGCTAATCATAGTTTTAAAATAATCCTCTTTGTCCTAAAGTTAATCCATGGTGCAACGCCAAATGCCAGCTTGTTTCCCTGGAACCATGGATACATGTCCATTTGTTATATCTTGTTGGAATGTCACCACTTAAATTTACCCCCAAATGATTTGCACGAGAATGTGCTATGTGTTTTTTTTTTTTTTTTTTTTTTTTTTTTTTTTTTTAAGGGAAGTTTTTCTGTCTTCTGCATGATGGTGTGCAGTGACTGAAAGCCTGTGTGGTAAAAAGAAGCAGGAAGGGCAAGAGGGAGCATGATAAATAGTATCACTAGGATGTAATAGTGGTTCCTGCATTGCTGTCCGCTGGTCTATAAAATCCCTTTTGGTCATGGAATGTTGGCACAGAGATAGGAGGTTTTTGTCCATTCTGCCTCTGATGGAGAGCACTCGAGAATCTGACTCCCTCTCTCTTACTCACTCCCTCGCCCTCATTCAACCACTACAGTTTCTGGCAGTTGTTCACTCCTGGCAGAAGTAGACCATAAAACCTTGTTTAGCTGGTTGAAATATCCCTCATTTCATACTACTTTTTTGGACTTATTGTGCAAGTCTACGGTCTTGATTTAATTTGTATTTTTTCCACATAATTTATTTAATGTCTGTAGTGTAGTGTAATGTGATGGCTTCAAATGCAAGATCTTAATAAGTAAGCTGGATATTTTTGATTATCCACCTATCCATGTTTAGTTTTTCCTTGTATGTAGCGCAGATTTGATTTCGAGGCATTCACATGAGGGACTGATATGTAGGTAGGTTTTATGTTCTATATAGTTCTATACACGAAAAACAAGAAATGGATGGTGTGCTTAAAAACTACTCATCTTGCAATATTGTCCAATATACTGAATCTTTCTATAATCCTTTTTTAATATATATTGCATTGGCATTGGATCATACTTTTAAATTTATATTATGTTATTACATATCTGTAAATTCAGGAGTTATTATTCTTTCAAGGTCTTCATTCTTGGTGTAGCCTGACCTTTCATAGTCTATTGGTGAATCATTAAAAGAAACAGTGACAAAAGACTGTCTTTGGTTTCAGACAGAAAGCGTAATGGTACACCTGACCAGCAACTTCTATTTAAGTGTTATAAATACCCATCATACCATGCCTTTTCTACCTATTTGATTTAAATTCACAGCAACCATAGAACATACCTGTTTCCTTATACTGCCAATTTTAAAAATGGGTAAGACATGATGCCTTTTTTTAAAGCAAGTTGTAAGTTTTAGCCCTAATTGAAATCTGTGACCTGTATTTCACAGATTTATTTGTCACAAATCCAGTTTATTTAACCAAATAATAATCTTAAGACTTTTTGAATTAGTCTTCTACAGGTGTGCATACAGACACATTTCAACTTGTGCTTTTTTTTGTCTCTAAAGCCTGGGAAATGTTCAGAGTAATGCGACCGTTTTTTCCCCACCATCTCCCCTGTGGTCAAGAAGAAAAGCTGCTGTGGCTTTGTGGTAGACATAGATAAATATAGAGGGCCGTGGCAGAACATGGAATATGATCCTTGCTGTGTTTCCATTGGGAAACATATCAAG